ATGGGTCTCTGCGGTGAAACAAAAATTGCCAACAAAAAAGATTCATTCACTACCGCTATTCAAGTCTTCGAATATTACATTTCTCATCATTTGGGTAAAGGTTTCGAATCAGTATTCGGTGGTGTTACATGTTTACCAGGTTGTTTCTGTATGTATCGATTAAAAGCACGGAAAGGTGACGATGACTGGGTACCAATTATCACTAAACCTGAAATTGTACAAGAATATTCACAAAATACCGTCGACACATTACATCAAAAGAATTTGTTATTGCTCGGTGAAGATCGATTCTTGACTACTCTCATGTTACGTAACTTCCCACACCGTAAAATGATGTTCTGCCCACAAGCCGTCTGTAAAACAATTGTACCTGATGAATTCAAGGTCTTACTTTCACAACGTCGTCGATGGATTAATTCTACAATTCACAATTTGATGGAACTGGTTCTTGTCCGTAATCTCTGCGGAACATTCTGTTTCTCTATGCAATTCGTTATTTTCATGGAGTTGATTGGTACCGTTGTATTGCCGGTCGCTATCATGTTGACCTATTCATTGATTATCAATATGATAATACATCCACCACACAGTTTCTCTGATGCTATTCCATTGCTTATGTTGGGTATGGTGCTCGGTCTACCCGCTATTCTCATTCTCATCACCACACGCAAGATCGTATATATCGCATGGATGTCTATTTACTTGTTAGCGTTGCCAATCTGGAATTTCGTTCTTCCCACTTATGCTTACTGGCATTTCGACGATTTCTCATGGGGTGAAACCAGGTTTGTAATATTACTTTTTTATATTGATTGCCAAGCTATTTTATTTCTAAAATTTAAATTGTTCTCAAATTTACAGAAAAGTTGAAGGTGAAGCTAAAGGTGACGATCACGGTAAAAAAGATGGTACTTTTGACGCAGCCGCAGTTCCATTTAAACGCTGGGAAGACTGGGAACGTACTCGTCTTCGAAGAGCAAAACGTGACGAACGTCAACGAACAAAACAGCAAACGGGTCCAGCACACCTCACACATGCTAATATTTCCGGAGAAGATGATGCAAATAAAGGACTGATCGCCGGTAATCAAGGATACGATGATAATAATAATTATTATGCCGAAACATCGTCAATTAATTCTGCTGTTTCTCAAGATATCGGACCACCACAACAATACTATGATTACAACGCTGGTGGTACCACTCCCGGTGCGCAAATACCATCTGGATACCCACCACAACACTACGACCAATATCAACAACGGCCACCACAAGATCAATATGGTGCTCAATACGGTGGTGGACAACAAGGCTATTATCAAGGAGGAAACTATTAAACATTAATTAATTAAATAACACATAAATCACACACAAGTAATAACACCTTAATTACATTTTCTTAAATTTTGCATTCGGTGGTGGGGATGGATTTGTTGCGAGCGG